AATCTTTTGTTGTACATGCACTCCATTTTCTGGTATATGTATCCACGGAGGAAGTTAAGAGGGCCATCTGGATTTATCACCATTTGAGAAGAATTCGTTTCAATTTCAAACTGCAGAGTGGTCTCCACTTCGTCTAATGTCATGTCTGCTCGGTGGGTGTTCATCAGTAGAACACTGATTAAAGCAACTGCCTTGATCCAAATAACCGAAAAAATCATTTTATAAATAGAATAAATTATTTTTTTAATATATAGTAACGGATAAATTTGAGAAAGTTTTATATGCTATTTCTATTGGTTTTCGGATTATATACGTTGATCAATAGTTTTCACTGGATATTATCCAATAATATGTATATACGTATGTTTAACCTGTTGCTATGCCCAAAAACACGTGATATTTCAGCAAACACATAATTTGTGTTATATATGTGCAAAAACGTAACTAAAGTTACAGCTAATAGAGCTGATTTACCCTCCTAGAAATGTTAGACTCGTTCATACAAATTTGAATATAGTTTATTTTTCATCCTCTATTTATAGACCTCTATGAAAAGTCTATCAAAGCGATACCACGCAAGTTAGATAACTTAAGGCAAATGAAAATATATTTCATTTGTTGAATCACTCAATGGTAGATGTGTAAACAAGTGGAGCCCTTTGTAGCATGTTGGCCTACCGACAAAACTTAGAAGACAATGACTAGCATCAGTTTATATTGCTGATATGATGAAGAGGTTTATTTCTCTAAAAAAGAGAAATCAATACTTAGTAGTAACCTATAGAAAGAAATCGACAGAATATATGAATGATGCTTTGCTAAACACAATACCCTATATTTTAGAAATCAGTCTTCTCTAGACGAAATATCACTTGTTTTTGGAGATGCCAATAGTTTAAATACGTATATTCGGGTTCGGGTTATATCCAGTGAAAACTATTGATAATAGTATATAATCCGAAAACCAATAGAAATATCATATAAAACCACCTTAAATTTATCGGTTAATATATATTAAAAATGATTTATTTTATTTAATGAAAATAGGTTCTTCCGCTATTTGGATCAAGGCAGTTACCTTAATTGGAATTCTACTTATGAGCATCTGCAGGGCAGACATGACATTGGATGAAGTGGAGGCCACTCTGCAGTTTAAAATTGAAACTGATGCATTGTCAGTGACAATAAACCCGGATGGTCCTCTTAACTTCCTCCGGGGGTACATATACCAGAAAATGGAGTGCATGTACAACAAAAGATTCTTTGCACCAGAAATCAATACAAAGTACAGTTTAGAGGAAGATCCAAAATATTTTCAAAAGTATATACACATTCGAGATGAACAAAAGGACAGAGCGTATACAGCACTATCTGCTAGTGAAATGGATATGTACGCTGAGAAGTACCATAATCATCTGATTGAGTTATTTCCATCACCAACTGGGGACATAACCATAGAGACACGAGGAAATCAGTCCTTTGTTCAGTTCCTTCGTGCAGAGGAAACAGAGAAGCACTCTTTAAAAATTCTGGCTATGTTGCTTCTTTTCTCAGAGGGGGTGAAAATTCCTATTAAAGTCAATAACACAGTACTTGAAGTGTATGAAACAGATAAAAAAGACCAAATATACTTTGAAGTGCCCATGGTTATTCCATGGCTAGACCCCGTAATCAATAAGACAAATGATTACCAACAGAAGAAAGTTAAGCAGCTAATCAGCTTCTTCCAGAAGAATGCAACCAATCAAAAAGTACTTAGCATGATGG